CTTCCCGATGATAATCGCGGTGGAAGATATCGCGGTGGTCAACTTGCCGTAAAAATCACCCAGGGTTCTCGCGATCTTGACGGTGGAGTTCTTGACAGGGAGTTCTCGCCATAGGGTGTTTCTCACGATGTAGTTCTCGCCGCGAAGAACAGGGCGTAGTACAAGGTTCCGGCCAAGGCTTGCAAGCAGCTCTCTAGACTCTCTACCACCCACCCTACCCACGACTCTAGACTCTATGCTAACTCTAACGCCTACGCGAACCTACGCGGACTCTAAGACGCGCTGCTGCTTGCCTTGGCCTTTCCCTTGTACTAGCTCGGGTAGCTTCATGATGTAGCTTAGACTGCTCAAAAGAGATTTTCGCATGAATTCCACAGGTAGAGCTCATTGAGACGGAGCTCATGGAGACGGAGCTTACGGCGACAGAGCTCTTCTAAAACGTTCTTTCCACGAAATAGTTGGGAAGGTTGAAATCCGAGAATGAAGTTGACAATAGGAAGTTGTAGTGCGCTGATGGAAGGAAAGGGGCGATCGAACAAGGTGGTTGGAAGGAGGAGAGTGTCGATAGAGACGACGCGGGTCGGAAACTTCTGGGTGCGGTGCGGGCTGCGCAAGCGGAGCGGCGCGTCTCAAAATGTTTGCGGTGCGGCGATGCAGGTTCGGAAAGTTGCCGTAGGCGGTGGGGCGTGGCGCAACGCGGTGCGAACCTTCGTTGCTGCTAGTTACAGGAATATGCTGAACGGATGGTGGAGATGATAGCCACCACCGATGAATATTGGTCACCATAGAGATGTGATGTGATGTGATCGCCGCCGCCACCATAGAATTTCCCCGCCTAGGAAATGTCGAAGAACATTTTCCATGGGGACTTCAACGCGACTGAATGTGCATGTGGACTCATCCCAAAGCTTTTGTGTGTTTTGGCGAATCTCAGCCGCGCGATGCGATCAAGCGCGGGGCCTCTGATATGGTGCATTGGTGCCGTTAGAATAGCAAGCTAGGTTGTGAAATAGTGAAACGAGTGGCGGAGATGATGGCCGCCGCTGATGAATGGTGACGACTTGGAGTGGTGTTTCGTTGGAGGCTGTGGTGTGGTGTCTGGCGCCGCCAAAGATAATTCCGCCTAGAAAGAATATGTCAGAAAGCGTTCCCAATGACCTCAAAATTCGAGGCGGCCGAAATGTGTTCATTCAAACTCATCCCAACGCGACCCGGCATCCCTCGACTAATTTCAAATGTACAGTACAGTTCAGAGGGTGGTTGGTAAACTTACGTTGGTTCAGACTGAATATAAGCGGATCTGCTGAGGACGCGTACTGCTGTGGTGTGGTTTGACGGGCACTCTGATATCGGGTACAATTGGTTTGGGTGAGGGGCAGGAAATTATTTTTCTAGGAGGTGGTGTGACGTGGCACAAGTATTTTACATCTATAGACCGACTATGAATTCGCGAAAAAATGTGCGTGACGTGCGGGATTGCATTGAAATTGCAACAAGATTTGTGAACGGAAGGTTCAGGTGCTCTCGCGGTTCATTTTGTTCCTTGCGAACTTGATCGGGGCAGATGATTTGGCAACGGGTGATCGAGGAAAAATAACACTGAAGCCGCTTCCCACGTCTAATAGCTGCACGAGTGCTGAGGCGAAATAAGCAACGAGTAGGCGTAAGATCCAACAATTTCTAGGCCACGAATAGCGGGAGGAATAGTAGCAACGATTGGACGAATTGATAGTGTCGATTATAATTTAGTCATTTGATAAACTTTGACTTGAGAGCGCACGGCCTCAGTCGATCTCGTTAGGCAGGCGAAGCGCAGGCGCTCTAGTCTGAACCGTTGCGCAAGACATTAAAAACGGGGCAGGGCGGGTAAAGGAGAAAGAAGGTCCAAGAGCACGTTACACCATCTCGCGAACCTTGGATTTCGGCGAGCAGGTTACATGTTCTCGCAAATGTCAAAATTCCATGCCGTGAAACCCCTCCCCTTCCCCCCTCTTCATCTTTCCTCTCACATCTCCCCTTCCCTCTCTCCTCATCTCCTCGTCTCCCCCGCTCTTTCCTCATTCGCCCAGTAAAAAAAAGCCTTTCCCTCCCCCCCCCCCCCCCCCACCCCACCCCCTCCCCCCGCCCGTCTAACCTTCATCCCCCATCCGTCTCACCCTCATCCCCCTCCGCTCTCCCCTCATCCTCTTCCTCGTCTCTCTTCCCACTCAACCCTCAGCTGCTCTCCTGTTTACCCCTCATCCCCCCTCCCATCCCTTTTCCTACCCACCTTCCATCTCCCCTCCCCACTCACCCCACAACTCCTCCCGTCCCTCCTTTAGCTTGAACGCGAGGTAGCACGGGCCATCCTTCTAGGAGTCTCCGAGGTGTACCCTTTGGAACCCCTTCCCCCTCACTTCCCCCTCCGCATTCCTCCCCCCCTTGTCTCCCCTCCCCACACTCACCCCTCATCTCCCCCACTCCCCTCCTTTGGTATGAGCTTGGAGCAGCAAGGGGTCTTGGAGGAGTGATTGAGGGGCACTCATGGGACCCCCTTTCCCCTCTGCCCTCCCCCTCCCTTGGCTCCCCTAATCCACTCCTCACCTCCCCTCCCCCCCTCTACTTAGGCATGAGAGCCAAGCGGCATGGCATGGGACAGCCTTCTTAGAGTTTCCGAGGTCCATCCCAAGGCCTCCCTTTTCTGTTTCATTACAAATGTACATGTGTGTGATACTGTAATCAAAGTTTGTGCAAGAATGTATCATGTAACACGTGTTCTGTGTATACCGATTGTTGTGTATGATTAAAATTGCGGGAAAAGGCACAACAATGGATAATGCCTTTCAGGTTTCGACATACCGTATTCTCCCGGATAAAACACCCTAGGGTATTATGAAAACCACTGGGAAAAAATGGGGGGGGTCTCCTCAAAGGAAAATCCTACATAATACCCGGGTCTTATTATATGGTTATATTTTTTATCAAGTAGAAAAGATGTGAAACAAAATCAGGGTCCTGACTCCACTTCAAGAATGTTGATCAGTGCCGCAAAACCGAGTATACGAGGATAACGTGACCGCCCACTGGAATCTGCCACGTGGCAAATTCGAGTGGGCAATTCTGGCACTTGATAGGGTGAAAACAAAGCCAATTGCGTGGCGAGGGTTCATGCAACCGCCGAGGCCAGAATCGCGCACGGTGGTGCGTTCTTACTGTACCAGTCACTTCTTGACTGGTTTGGTCACGTGTCTGTGCCTCATGTGAGAAGGTGATTTTCACCTATTGGGCCACTTGCAGCAGAAGATTCGCCAGCGTGGCGACAGCGAGATTGTGGGAGGGGGGAAATCTTCGCAGATTCAAAGTGAAAGTACACGCGAAATTTCACATAGGGAGCAATTCTCGTGATATCTTCCCGTAAGGAATCGGACTCGATAACAGCTACAATATGAATCTGTAAGAAAAGGGGGATGTTACAGGGCCTATTTTTGGATTTTGGGTACTCTGATTTCTAGAGTAGTTTTTTTCCCAACTCTGAAATCTAGGGTTGTTCCTGCGCCTTACTCTGATTTGTCAGAGTAACCCTATACTTTCAAAAAAAAACCCAGGCAGGTCAGAGTAATATTTTTCTCTACTCTGATGTTAGTTAAGTTTGGTGTACCATGACCTTAATAGGTTTTTGTTACGCTTTTTGTACTTGCATTGTGTTTCATTTCCGCGTCGCCCACGTTTCCCCCCTCACTGCGATGTTTCAGAGTGAGGTGTTGGCGGCACCGATAATCTGACTAAGAGCGTGTCTGAAGTGAAATGTCGACGGATGTACAGTTTCGTTGGGGAATGCTGGCCAATCTAAACCCTCGGATTGAGCGTTCCGACCGTCAGGATTCCTCGACGTCCCTCAAAGTTTCGTCGGGAAACGTCGACGTTCACTTCAGATATAAAGAGAGAGGGGACTGGTTGGCATCGTGCGCTGGTTGGGAAAGTTGTCAAACTACGGTAGCCAATCAGCGCTCATATTGCCGCCAACACACAACAGAAATCAGGAGAATGATCTCGACGATTCGGGGAAAACCCGCTAAACGCAGGGGGATGTGGGGAGGGGAGGGGGGGCGGGGGAGGGGGGGCCGGCAGGTATTCCCTATATAGAGTAAATTCGGTCCCCGAAAAAAAAATCCAGAGGCCTCAGAGTAAACTACAGCATAACTCTGACAAATCAGAGGAATCGGAAGTCCCAAAAAAATTACCCAGCGGGTACAGAGTTACTTTCAAAAATGACTCTGATTTTCAGAGAAACAGAGTAATTTACTCTGAAAACGTGAGGCCTGGGGTGTTATAGAAAATCACCCCAAAAGGGGGGGTATAGTACAAACGGGGTCGGATATAACACCCACCCCGTATTAGCTACCCGGGGGTGTACAATTACGGGGGGGTGTTTTATCCGGGAGAATACGGTACGGTAGCAACTCTTGGAGAATAGACACTTCTGTTTCCAAACATTTATGGAAGTTGCTGGGCTGGTGGTATTTGAAGCAATGACTTTGGTGAAGTAAACCAAGGATCCCCAAGACTACTTCTTTGTAGCTACAGTATATATCATTCTCCCAACCCAATGTTCCAGCTAAAGTCGTTGTAGGAAGATGCTCTAGCCTAGCCTAAACTCTGGGTGAGTGGCGGTTCAAGTGACGCTTAAACACCCATGGTCAGGTGCGTGAAGCCATGGGTGTTAGAGCATCACTTGAGAAACAGCATCAGCGACTCCAATCAAACAAATACTAGTGATCACACCAGAACATCAGCACCAATGTCTGCTGCTTGAGCTTCCAATCCTAAAGACCATCCGCTAAACTCTGTGATTCCACTCAGCAACTCAGCTCAGCTGCTGCTGCCAGTAGTGACCCGGGCTTGGGCGCTGCTCAGAAAAGGCAGTCAGTCAGCTCAGCACAGACTCTTCAAAAAAACAATGCAAGCGGTTGCGACTTGGGCCTCAAACAAACCACGAGGAGGAATCGCGACTTGCATCTCCTTCACTCCACAATTCCTCTCAGCATCTCAGCTGCTGCTGCCAAGGCACCACATACACCAACCCACCCCCCTCCCATGCTGTAACACCCTCTCCCTGACAGAAAATCACCAACTCCCTCTGCTGCTGTGCCCAAGCTGCTTCCCACACACTCCTTCCAAGAAGCTTCCCATCCAGATACATCACTATGAAGATCCTCTTCCTCCTCTTTCTCCTCCTCCCCATTTTCATCGTCATCATTACCATCGCAGTTATTTCCTGCCACATCAGCATCCCACCTGACAACATCAGCAGCCTTATCCGACAGCTCAGCGAGCGCGATGCTGAGTAGGACGCACTGCTGGCAGCAGTGCAGCAGCAGAGCCTGTGCTCCTCCCAACGCAGCTAGCCTTGATTCCTGCCTTTGAGGTGCATCAAAACCTGTTCCCTGTGCAGCACGAGCATTCTCAAGACATGCTCCAGAGCTCCCCTTGTCTGCCTGTGCTGCTTGCTGCCCGTTAACAGCCACAACAGCAGCAGCAATAGGAGCCCCTGCCACATTAGCACAAGCAGCAGCAGCAGCAGCAGCAGCAGCAGCAGCAGCAGCAGCAGCAGCGCCCGCAGCACAACCACCAACAGCATCACCATTGCCACTAGCAGCACCAAGACTTTGGCGTCGCGGGGAGGAGCAAGGAGACGCAGGGAGAGGGAGCGAAGCAGCTTGCATCAGCAGCGCCTGGAGCAGCCGAACCAAGCCTGTCACCACCCGAGCCTGTGACCGAACCAAGCCCCCAACGACCTGAACGTGCGCTGGGTTCACCCCTACCCACTCCAACCCCGCTGTATCCGTCCCCACTCCCTCAACCGCCTCTCTCGCCCGAGCTATTTCAGATGCCAGAACGTCAAAGAGCCGAGGCAGAACGAGCGCCATGACCTCCCAACCACTCTCCACCGCTCCGGTGCCCCTCCCGTTCCTCATCCCAGCGTCGGTAACACCTGCAGCTTCAGCAGCATTGGCAGAGGCTGTAGCATTGGCTGTAGAGTTGGCAGCGGCTGTAGCATTAGCAGTGGCTGAAGCATTGGCAGCACCTGTAGCAGCAAGACAACTCCCCCCCTCCACATCCATCCCTTGCACCTCGGCTCCTGCTGCTACCCCTCCTGCTGTTCTCACCCTCCCTGCTACCCCTCCTCCTGTTCTCACCCGCCCTGCTGTGTCCGGCCCAATTCCTTCCCCCTGTTCCAGCATTCGTCGCTGCTCCTCTTGCTTCACCCTCTGCAAACCTCCCGTCTCCTCGCCTTCCTTCCTCCCACACTCGCTCCCTCTGCTTCCGCTCCTCGCCTCCTCTCCACTCAAACCACTCCCCTCCTCCATCCCTTTCCCAGCAGCCCAGTCACACAGCAACCCCAGCACTTCTATCACACCACATGCACTCCTGTACCCATCCCCCACGGCCCTCCTCTCCCTCCCAATCCCAGCCTTGAACCCTCTCGCCACATCCCCGGATCCCCTGCTGTCCCCTATAAAAGCTTTATCCTGGTTGGAACCTCGTGCAGTTCGAATCTGCGTGCTATACAGTTGTATCGTGCGGTGGAGTTGCGAGGCAGTGGCTTGTAAGAGGGAGCACAGGACGTTTAACAGAAGGTCAGCGAAAGCAGCAGCAGATACCACTGCTGTGTGCTTATTATCACTCACTGTCCCAGAATTTGTGACTGTAATGAGAGGAGCCTGTACGAGAGGGAGGGGTCGTGGCAGTGGTGGTGACTGTAACAGGATGTGCTTATCTAAGAGTGGAGATGGGAGGGGGAGGAGCAGCAGCAGGATCTGCTTCATCACCACCCCTACCACCCTCACTCTCTCGTTATAATCACCCTTCACTCTTCCTGTTTCCCACGCTGCCAGCAACGTCAGGAGCCTTGGCAGCATATGAGAGAAGGACACGTGGCGGTCTGTGATAGGGGCACTAGAAGCAACCAGAATCTGAAGGGCTGCTAATGCTGAAGCTATGATGCTTCCCGCTGCCACACCTGCTGCTGCCGGTGCTGCTGCTTCTGCTGCTGCTGCGTCTGCTTCTGCCAGAAGTTTCCGTCTCCTTGTTTCCATGGCTAAATCAGTCAAGTCAGTTGCTACGTTTGTAGGAAATGCAGCAGCCATCACGAGCCTCCACTCCCTCGCCCACATGCCCTGCTGCTCACCCGTGTCTGTCTCAAACCCCTCCCCCTCACCACCCTCACCACGCACTGGTGTTCTCCTTTCAAACAGGACCCCTTGACGCACTGGTGGGACCCGCACTTGTGCTGCTTGGTCTGATTTTTGAGGCGCCTCAAAAACCCCTTGACGCACTGGTGGGGCCCGCACTTGTGCAGCTTGGTCTGATCTGCCCTCCTGTGCTCCTTCTCCTACCCGCTTCCTGTCATTCTCACCACCACCACCATCACCACCACCACCGTCAGCATCACCATCCCCATCACCATGACCATTTCCCCCATCGACATCAGCCATTTCAGCATCTTCAACCGGTTTCCCTTGCCTCCCTCCTCTTCTCCTCCTCCCGCTCCTTCTCAAGCCTCCTGTTTCCCCCGGGGGAGCAGGAAAACCAGCATCTGAAACATCAGCAGCAGCAGCAGCTGCAGCAGCAGCCGCAGCAGCAGCCGCAGCTTCAGTAGCAACACCAGCATCTGAAGCATCAGCCACAGGAGCAGGCGGGAGAGCAACACCAGCAGCAGCAGATGCAGCGGTTGCAGCAGCAGAGGAGGCAGCAGAGAGCAGAAGGGAGCGGCAGGTATGGTCCACCCGAAGCATAACGGAGAGGGCTTGCCACGCTTGCAGGCGAGAGGGCTGGACAAGGGGTGGGGAGGGATGGAATGCAAAGAAAATATAAATTCTAAGTCAACTCAAACGGCAGCAGAGAGCAGAAGGGAGCGGCAGGTGTGGTCCACTCGAAGCAGAACGGAGAGGGCTTGCCACGCTTGCAGGCGGGGGGGCTGGAAAGGGAAGAAGGGGAAGGGGTGCGAAGGAGGAGGCCAAAAAAACAAGGGAGAAATCAGAGTCAACTGAAAGGCAGCAGAGGGTAGAAGAGAGCGACAGGTGTGGTCCATTTCAACCAGAACGGGGAAGGCTTGCCATGCTTGCAGGCGAGACGACTGCGGAGCAGAGGGATAGAGACGTTAACAGGATACACGAGCTTGTGTTCAGGCGAAGTCCACCAGCATGGAGAAAAAGAACGATCGTGTAAGCGCCTTAAAACTGCCTCAAATCATGTGCACGGTGTACACAGGGCTTACCTGAGACACAGGTGCTTGTGTGCAGGCAAAGTCCAGCAGCGTGGAGAAGAAATGGCAGGGCGAGTCGATACCAATCAGTAGCTGGAATTTGCGAGGGCAGCGAGTGTGGGAAAGACATGGGGAGGGAAGGGGGTGACGGCGCGGGCGAAAGCGTTGAGAGCAATGTGGAAGCTGGAAATGAGAAGCGGGAAAGGGGATCTTGAGGATGAAAGACAGGATTGAGAAGACACTGATGAAATGACATTCTTGAAATCCCATGCGCTAATGAATTCTGCAACTCTTATAGAAAAACTCATGTTTAGATGCAAGTCGTGCTGCCTGGACATCCGTACATATCATTATTTTCAACACTCACATTCGAAAAGCCGTCTTGCAGTCGCCGCTGCACAACCGCGCACCTCGCATCCCCACCCGCTCTCACATTCCGCACCTCCTCTCCACCTCTCCGTCCCAGCGCAACAGCAGATTCCCTTGCCGCGTCTACGGAAAGAAGAAGACGTGACAAGCCAGGGCTGTGTGCCTGTGCGTGTGTGGTGGTGTGACAGAGCATGCGAGGGTCTGAAAGAGAACCTCTGTGCGTCATCTGTGGCTCTGTTGCAGTGGGCCTTGCAACGAATGGGAGGCAGCGAGTGGAAGGGAGAGTTGCAACGAGGGTGGGCGGGAAGTGAGCGGCATTGGGCGTTGCAACAAGGGGGAGGCAGTGAGCGGCAGTGGGTGCTGCAACCAGGGATAGAAAGTCTCGAGGACAGTGCGCTATCAGCTGTGATGCCACAAACCGGCAGTGCTCTGCTGAGTCACGCATCATGGGCCTTGACTCATCGAATCTGCGTGCTGAGTCACTGTGGCCATGCGCTGAGTCAGTGCCGGCATCATCCCTGTCAACTTCCACCACTGCCACGTCATCATTCCCCTGCTTCCTCCCACTTGCTTGATTCCCCTCACCCTCTCTCCTTTCCAGCCTCTGCTCCTCCTGGCTCTTCTCCTCCGACCCCCCTCCCATGCTCAATCTACCGTACTTGCCAACTCTCACGGTACACCCAACAGGCGGTGATCTGTCACACTTAGCAAAGTGCAAGGTAGGGGATGGGGAGGGCAGTCGGCCGTTCCACACTCGCTGCAGGGCACTGTGCAAACAAGCCATGTCACGGTCTGACGCTGAAGCAGCAACGGCTCCAGAGGCCCCAGCAGCAGCACCCTCCTTAGCACCAGCAGCAGCACCAGTGGCAGCATCGGCAGCAGGACGAGCGGCAGTGACACCTGTTGCAGCGCCAGAATCGGCACGAGCAGCACCAGCAGGTGCTGCAGCAGAAGCAGCAGCCGCAGTACCACCACCACCGCTACCAGCAGCAGCAACAACTCCAGACGCAGCAGCATGGCGCAGCTCTTCTGTGTTGCCTGCATTTCCCCCCAAGTCCTTCCCATCCATCCCATTTGGCTGCTTCAAAATCTCGACACGATCCTCCTGCACACGCCGCTCCCTGGAGATGGTCGTTGTAGAAAGAGAAAAAACAAAATGAATACGGAAAAGGAGGCTGTGACAAGGAAGCAACAAGTCCCCATATGTCTCCTCCACCCCAAGGTCTCAAACGTCCCATTCCTTCCCAGTCTCACCTCTCTGTCACAGCCTTTGCCATCTTTTCTTTCAACTCCCTCGCTTCAGCCTCTGCTGCCTGCCGCCTTCGCTCCTCCTCCTCTCGCTGCTTGCGAGTCTGCTCCATCTCCTCTTCCTGCACGTATCCACATGTCCGCATGTCCACATGTCCGCATGTCCACATGTCCGCATGTCCACATGTCCGTGCATCAGGCAAAGCAATGGAAAGGGGAGATAGAACAGGGGATTGGGAGTTGTAGAAAAGCTTGGCACGCTAAACCTGCTCCAACTCTTCTTCCTTAACAAGTATGCGTGCCTGGCAAAAGAACAGAGGAAGAGGACTATCGCCCTTTTTGGCACTTACTTCTAAGAAGAAAGGAGGAATTTCCGTGTACGAAAGTGACCAACAGAGTTATCGAAGCAGATGCTTACAAAGGCTAAAAAACAGGCTTAACGGAAAAGGTCAGGGCACAGCAGGGCAGGGTGTGACTTGCGCATCTTACTTTGAACAGGAGCTCAGCTGTGAGACGCTCGATCTCGATGTCTTTTCTATCCATCTGGAAGAAGCAAGTGAATAAGTGAAGATGACATGACATGACATACATGCGAAAGAGACGGGCGCAATGACATGAAGGTTGGTGGGTAACTAAGCACGCAAGTGAAGCTGCAAGGTTGGTGAAAAGGGTAAAGAACCACGAGGCATAAGGACAGGCATGACATTGGGGGTTCACAGATGGAAAGCAAGTGAGTTCCAGAAAATAAACAGACTTAAGAAAGCCCAATCCCAAAACCCAATAGCAATGACAGCAAACCTGGGCATTTTCTTGGCCTGGAGCAGCGGCAGCGGAATGCGAATCTCGCTGATGAAGGCACTTCAGCTGTTTCTCTGCCTGCACGAACAGCAGTAGTAAGCAGAAAAATTAACACACAGGATGCTAGCAGAAGGCAGAGCAGAAAGGCACTAGGTCGTACACGAAGCAAGAAGACATTGCTTTAACCCGACAACTGATCCAGTAGTAAGAGAGAATTCTTTCGTCAGAAAACTAAAACTGACAAACTGTTCTCACCTCTTGAAGCTTCGCCAGCAGACCCTCCATCGCTGCTTCCTTCTCCCTCGACCTCTCCCTCAGAGTTCTATCAGCTAGCCATGCTGCCACCATTGCTCACCTCTTGCAGCTTCGCCAGCAGCCCTTCCATTGCTGCTTCCTTCTCTCTCAGCCTCTCCCTCAGACTTTCAGCTGCCTCCTCCGCCCCATCTTCCTCTCCTTGGCACCTTTCTTTGTGCTCATCTCCGGCTTTGTACTGTTCCCCCACGGCTTGGTACTGTTCATCCATGCCTTGATAGTGTTCATTCAAGGACTGCTTCTGGCGCTTGACAGCTGGCGCCTTGCCATTCGCCGATTCCCATCCCCCATGGCTGCTCCCTGGCTCCTGCATACTCCTCCTTTGAAAGCCACCAGATTCAGTAACGCCAGGAGCAGGAGCAGTGGCAGCAGCAGGAGCAGCAGGGGGGGGGAAAGCAGAGGCGGGAAGGGGAGAAGGAGGCGTTGGGGGAACAGGGGGAGCGGATGGGATGGTGGGTGGGGGTGGGGCGATAGGGGATGCTGCGAAGCCTGGTGCTGGGAAGAGGGCACCGAACCTGTGGTCTCCCTTCGCTCGCCCGTAGACAGCTGGAGGGGGGGCTGAAGGGTTGGTCCGAACCATTGACGCAGGCCTGGAAGGTGCAGCTCCGGAAGACAGGCTGGGTTGTTGGGCATGCAGAGAGTGTTGAGCTGATAGGGCATGGGAAAAAGCAGGTCCTTGGTTGATCTTGTGATGTGTCTCGTCATTGGGCCACGCAGTGCCATTCTGATAAGGAGGATAGATGCTGGATTCTTGATTGCGGTTTTCAGTAGTTGGAGCCTGTTGCTGCATTGGTGGTGGCTGTTGCTGGTTGTGCTGCTGCTGGTGAAAACGAGGGGTTTGCAGCTGTTTTTGGTCACGATGATAGGGGTGCTGATGTTGCTGATATGGTTTCGCCTGGTGAGGCTGCTGTAGTGAACTCCACTGATGCTCCTGCTGCTGCTGAAGCTGCTGGTTCTGATTCAATAGATGCGATTTCTGCTGCGGATGCTGTTGGTGCTGCTGGTGCTGCGGGTGTTGTTGATGCTGTTGATGCTGCTGGTACAGATGATGCTGATGATGCTGCTGGTGCTGATTATGCTTCTGGTGCTGCTGCTGCTGGCCGTCCTTCGCCGCCTTTTCCGCCTCCGCCTTCATCACGAGCTCCAACGCGTCGGCCATGACATCAGGACCCCACTCATCGTCGTCACCCATCATTTCGAACTTGACGAACAAATCCGTTACGATTTTGGCCAAACAACGTTTAAGCGCGGTCAGAAACAGGAGAACGCCTGATGGAGACGTGAAAATCGCACGGAGCCGATCGGATAAGTCGATTCTAGACTGATGGTCTGTCACTGAACAGCGGCGTCAGGACAGCTCGACGAATGAAACGCTTCGACCGCCCAAGCTTAGAACCTACGAATGACTGACGGCGGAGCGCGTCTAAAGACGAAGCTTCGAAACTCAATCTCAAGCCAGAACAAGGCGTGACGATGACACTATCCTCACTGATAAGGTCTAGTAACCTCGGACGATACCTGAGGGATTTGTGTGGCTTGTCACTGACGCTAACCTCGGGAAATGCTCGCAGGGCCCGTTCAGCCAATTGAAGTTGCAAAATTATGAAAACCAACTCCATTGAAAATTTTCGGAGGGAAGAGATTTTCTTCCAGCAATTGGTCAATTTCCCCGCGTGTACAGCTCCTTACGTGCCCGAGCTAGAAGGGGTGAGCCTTGAAATTGGTGCCTCGGAATCGCCCGCTGTAACGCCGATCTTTTTTTTGAGCGAGTTCCTTACTACTTATTGTGCTTTTAAAAACATTGGCGCCACAAAACAAAATGTCAAACATTTGAGAAACATGAGTTATTGGAACGATAGACAATTACAACGACCTCAGACTTCAGTGAGCATATAAAGCACTCGTTACTGCAAACGAGCAACCAATACAGATATCGAATGCAGGTTCAATGCACACTTGTCCAGCTTCAAAGAGCACCTGTAAGCCTCTCGAAGCACTCCCACCAACTCCTCTCCACCTCTCCCAACCCCTAAGCCTGCTGCACTTGTACCTTCACCCGCCTTCCTCCCACCGAGGGATGAGCCGGAAGATGCCAGAGCAAGGCCCAGCAAGGCCTTCAGGTGTGACTGTACGAGATGGCACAGCCTCTCAGCCGTGTGACTGTAGAGAGGGGACGCCTTGTCGTGAGCTTGCTTTGAGTGCTCCGTGGTTTTGGAATCGGGAACTGGGGAGGGAGAGGGGCCTGGGGGTGGTGATAGCGCGGCCTGCACTGCCATGAGGTGTCTCAGAGCCGCGAGGTGACTCTGGTGGGGTACAGGGGCGAGGGGAGAGGAGCGACAAGGGAAGAGAAGAGAGCGCAGGGAATAAGGTTACCGTATTTGGTTGGGGGAAACTGGGGCGTGGAGAAAGTTGACTTGTCAGGCTCAGACACTAAAAACAACCATGCCTGACACTGCTGCTGCTGCTGCTGCTGCCGTTGCTCCCCAAAGCAAAGGAGGCCAGCCCACTCCATGCATGTAGTCACACACAGGTCCGGATGTGCACCCGCTTGATAGAAGCACACTGCCTTGCGCCAGTGCACCCTTTTTAAAGCATACCTGCCACTGCTGCTGCTTCTGCCCGCCCAGACCCAACCAAACGTTAGCCCCCCCCTCTCCATGCAGCTAGTCACAAACATGTTGGCGAAAGCACGCCCATACAACACACTCTATACAATCATACCTGCCACTGCTGCTGCTTCTGCCCGCCCAGACCAGACGCTAGCCCCGCCCTCTCCATGCATATAGTCACAAACATGTCCGGATGTGCTTCCGCTCGATAGAAGCACACTGCCTTGTGCCAGTGAACCTCTGCTAACGCTGCCAGGCGCTTCTGCTGCTGCTGCCAATCCGCCACACCCCCTGCTGCTGATCCTCCTGCAGCAGCAGCAGCAGCAGCACGAAGGGCACAATCCCTGTGGTAACCAGCAAGATGGAAGTGAGCAAAGGCAGCTTCTTGCTGTCTGCTCGTCCCTAGAGACTCATACAGAATCAGAGCCTTACTCAAGGCATCCTTCGCCGAAACATACCCTCGCACCTCCCACTCCCACTCATTCCCCTCCCCTGCCCCCCCTCCGCCTTCCTCCCTCACCCCATCCCCATCCCCTCTCTCATTCTCCACCCTCCCTCCACCGAACCAACTGGAACTATCCGCATTCTCTTTCCTGTTCCCAGCAGGGACCATTGGGAGGCCCAGGCGTTCCGCAGCGGCCATAAGCATGCCGACTCTAAGGTAAGTGTGGGCGAATTGCAGGTTCACCTCGCTCCACACCACCCCATATGCCCGTGCTGCTGCTGACTCACTCTCAACCCCCACGCCACCCTTACCTCGTCCTCCTCCTACTCCTACTCCCCCTGATCCTCCTGCTCCTCCCGCTACGTCCGTACTCCCATCAGCAGCACCATCGGCCTTACTTTCCCCCACACTCCTCATCAGCTCCCTGCGAGCATCCCCATACCACCCCAACGCCCGCATATACCGCTGCCTCGCTCTCTCAAACTTGCCCGAGAACCCAGCACCAGCACCAGTACCAGCACCAGCACCAGTACCAGCACCAGCACCAGCGGAACCACTTTCACCGCCGTTAACATTCGTTGCGGCATCCCCAGCACCAAAAGCAACAGGCGCCCCAGCAGCAGGAGCAGCAGCAGCAGCAGAAGAAGCAGCATTACTAAAGCCCACGCCAGAAGCACCTGCTTGCTCAGAGAGCATGAGAAGAGGAGCAGCAATCACCTCAGCATCTGCCCGTTCCCCATGGCCTAGATTGCAGAGCACAAGAGCAGCATTGGGAGCATCTCCCGCTTCCCAGAATGCCTCTGCTGCCGCCACCAGCGCTGCCCGTGCTGCTGCTATGGTGGCGTGTGGGGGTGTGGGAGGTGGAGGAGGAGATGAGGTAGAGGAAGAGGAGGAAGAGGAGGAGGGAGAGGAGGAGGAAGGGGAGTTGAGAAGCCACCGGCCGCGCTCGTTGCAGGCCCATCCGCGTTTCCTCATAACCGCCTGCTTGCTTGTCGCGTCGTGATTGGCCGAGAACGCAGCCGCTGCCCGGGAGTAAAACTCGGCTGCTGATTGGTAGTTGGCGTTCGGGTCGAGCACGAACGGTCGGCCAAAACAACGACTCTTCCAGCTGGTTGCAGAGCAGGCGGCTTGGGGAAGGGCTGATGGTGCTGCTGATGCTGATTCACCGTTGTCTCGTCGTGCTCGTTCATTCAAGCAGCTACAACCACCCCTCCCACACACGCTACAAACAGCATGTGCTACAGCTGCTACTGCTTCTGCTGCCCCTGCTGCTGCCCTTGCTGCCTCCCCAGCCGCGACCCTTTCGCCTGTTGCCCCGTGACCACTGCCCTCCCTCTGCCTCCTTTTCTTCCTCACCCGTCTCACCTCCCTTGCCACCTCCTCTTCTATCCTCAGCTCTGCACTCCCAGATGCCTCTCCCTCTGCAGCCACTGCTGCAGCCCGCACAGCCACACTGCCTTCTTCCCTTCTCCCCTCGCCCAACCTCGCACCACCAACCCTTGCCCCTTGCTTTGGGTCACCGAGTCTCGCCTCTTGCTTCGAATCACCGAGCCTTGCTGCTTGCTCAGGCTCCGACCCTGTTCCGACCCTAGTCTCTAGGTCCACATACAAATCTCCTACCAGTTCCCACAGCTCACCCCAAAAGCTCCTTCCACTCACACGCCTGCACAACCACATGCTACCCTCCCACCCTGCAGATACTCCCCCTCCCGCCAACATCCCTGCTGCTGCTGCTGCTGCTGCTGCTGCTCCTCTGCTCACTCCCACCCCCACCCCTTTTGGCCTTACAGATTCAGAAACACGGCTCTGCCTCTCATTCTTGCGTGCTGACTGGCTGGGCTTTGAAGAGTCCTTCGTTTTAGCCCCACCGAGAGATTGTGTGACTTTAAGCGGTGTGACTGTACGTGACGCAGTGTAAACACGAAGCACAGGGGCGTCAGACGTGGAGCAGCCAGAATCGGACAGCCTCAGCCTGTCTTCCACCCTCATCTCCCTTACGGGCTGACTCGCTACATGTAAAGCATTTCCTCCTTCCGCCCCTCCTTCGCCCTTCTTCTGCTTCCTATCTTTCCCTTTCGCTTTCTTCCTCCCACCTCTCGCCCCCCTAACCTCTTGCACCCCCCTCTCCGCTCTCTCCCCTTCCTGCTCGCCACCAGTCTTCATTCCATTCCCCTCACCTCCAACCCCCCATCCCTCCAATCCCCGAAACCTACCCTCCTCCCCTTCATCCCGCCTCCCATCCTCTCCCTCTCCTCCCACTCCTCCCTCTCCCCCCTCCTCCCCTTCCCCTTCCAAGCCTAGATCCTCCAAGTCCCACGGCCAACCCCCCACAACCACACACGCCAGCTCAGCAGCTCTTAAAGCCCGCCCCACGTGCCCATCCCCCTTATAAGCTTCTGCTAGGCCCAGATATGCCTCTCCTAGAAGCGCTATCAGCTTGCAGATACGCCGATCGGTAACCGCAGTGGTACGGCTGGTAACTGCACTGCTAGTGGTAACTGCATCACCACTGGTTAGGCCTCCAGCAGCAGCAGAACCAGCAGAGGCAGCAGAGGCAGCAGAGGCAGCGCCAACACTGCTGCAGGTGCTACCTAGGGAGCAAAAAGAATGTGCGTCGTCATCCCCCTCCCTCCCTTCCTCCTCCCCCCACTCCTGCCCTCTCTCCCCCATTACCCCCACCTCCTCCTCCACCTTCCCCCTCTGCTGCCCTCCCCTTCCCTTCACCCCCTTCCGCCCCTTCCCCCTGCTCCTCCTCCTCTCCTCCTCAACCACTCCAAACGCCCTCCCATCCCCGTAAACCGCACCAGACCCTTGGGAAAGGCAGCAGGATTCCCCACAGAGACACATACCGGAAGCAGAGTAGTTTCTGAGGCTGTGGAGGAGGGATAGAGGGGGGTTCATTAAGCTCTCCTGGGTGTGAGTCAGCAGGTGCCGCTGCCACCTCAGCGCGCCGATTGCTTGCGTGGCATGCCAGACGGATGCCAGGCGGACTGCCACTGCGCTCTCTGCATCGTCGACAGCAGGGGGAGGGGAACGGGATGGCAGCGGCGGTTGTGATTTTGGTGCTGCTTCTTCTGCACCTGCTGTTTCTTCTGCCCCTGCAGCTGCTTCTGCTCCTGCCGCTTTTGCCTCTGCTGCTGCTTCTGCCCCTGTTCCTGTGTGCGCTACGGCACTCTCCGCGTCTCCCACTGTAGTGCGCGGAGGGGGCAAAATTGCGGATATTGGTGAAGCTGCAGTTGCTGTGGCTTCTGGTTCTGCTGCTGCTGCTGCTTCTTGTTCTGCTTTAGCTGCTGCTCCTGGCTCAGTCGCTGCCACAACCTTTGATTCCTGTGCTACCAATTCATTTGCTGCAGTTGCACCCGATTCCTGTGCTACTGCTGCCCCTGATTCCTTTTCTACAGTTGCACCTGATTCCTGTGCTACAGCTGCCCCTGCTTCCTTTTCTACAGTGGCACCCAGTTTCTGTGCTACAGCTGCCCCTAACCCATGCGCTGCTTGCGAGCTGATCGTGAGCTGCTGGCTCGTTGGAAAAACGGGAATCACAGCCAGCTGCTGATTGGCTTGGGGAATTACAGCCAGCTGCTGATTGGCTTGGGGAATTACAGCCAGCTGCTGATTGGCTTCGGAAATCACAGCCAAGGGTTGGTCAGCTCTTGGAATGACAGCTAAGTGTGCGTTGTTTGTGGGGACGATGGCCAAACGTTGAGAGCCCACAGCTGCAGGAGCAGCTGCAGCATCAGCACTAGCAGGATCGGCAGCAGCAGGAGTAGCAGGATCAGCAGCAGCAGCAGGAGTAGCAGGATCAGCAGCAGCAGCAGGAGTAGCAGGATCAGCAGCAGCAGCATCTTTGGGATAAGTGATAGCGAGGCAAGAGGATGGGGTGAGAGCAGAAGGAGATACGGAGGAAGGGGTGGAGAAGGGTAAAAGATTGGACGGTGGCAGATGGGAGGGTAAGAACGTGACTGGTTGGAGAAAGGGGAGGTGGAGTGAGGAGGGATGGGGGAGTGACGGTTGGAGAGAGGGATGGAGGAGGGAGGAAGGGGGGATGGGAGGGTGTGGGGGGGCGGTATGGGGAGTTGATGAGAGGAGGAAGGGAGGGTGGGGAAGCCGTGGTTGTGGCAGGAGGGGGGAGTGGAGGTGCGAGGGTTGGAGGAGAGATGGAAGCTCGTTCTGAGGGATTTGCAGGAAGAAGAGCGCCATGTACTCGTGGGCTGTTGCTCGAAGGCCCTGGAGGGGAAACAGAGATTAGAAGAGGAATGGAGGGAGGTAGAGAAACAATGATACGCTGCACCGCCCGCTCATACGCTGCACCGCCCGCTCATACGCTGCACCGCCCGCTCGTACGCTGCACCGCCCGCTCGTACGCTGCACCGCCCGCTCATACGCTGCACCGCCCGCTCATACGCTGCACCGCACGCTCGTACGCTGCACCGCCCGCTCGTACGCTGCACCGCCCGCTCGTACGCTGCACCGCCCGCTCGTGCGCTGCACCGCCCGCTCATACGCTGCACCGCCCGCTCGTACGCTGCACCGCCCGCTCATACACTGCACCGCCCGCTCATACGCTGCACCGCCCGCTCATACGCTGCACCGCCCGCTCATACGCTGCACCGCCCGCTCATACGCTGCACCGCCCGCTCATACGCTGCACCGCCCGCTCATACGCTGCACCGCCCGCTCATACGCTGCACCGCCCGCTCATACGCTGCACCGCCCGCTCATACGCTGCACCGCCCGCTCATACGCTGCACCGCCCGCTCATACGCTGCACCGCCCGCTCATACGCTGCACCGCCCGCTCATACGCTGCACCGCCCGCTCATACGCTGCACCGCCCGCTCATACGCTGCACCGCCCGCTCATACGCTGCACCGCCCGCTCGTACGCTGCACCGCCCGCTCGTACGCTGCACCGCCCGCTCGTACGCTGCACCGCCCGCTCGTACGCTGCACCGCCCGCTCGTACGCTGCACCGCCCGCTCGTACGCTGCACCGCCCGCTCGTACGCTGCACCGCCCGCTCATACGCTGCACCGCCCGCTCGTACGCTGCACCGCCCGCTCATACGCTGCACCGCCCCGCTCATACGCTGCACCGCCCGCTCATACGCTGCACCGCCCGCTCATACGCTGCACCGCCCGCTCATACGCTGCACCGTCCGCTCATACGCTGCACCGCCCGCTCATACGCTGCACCGCCCGCTCATACGCTGCACCGCCCGCTCATACGCTGCACCGCCCGCTCATACGCTGCACCGCCCGCTCATACGCTGCACCGCCCGCTCATACGCTGCACCGCCCGCTCATACGCTGCACCGCCCGCTCATACGCTGCACCGCCCGCTCATACGCTGCACCGCCCGCTCATACGCTGCACCGCCCGCTCATACGCTGCACCGCCCGCTCATGCGCTGCACCGCCCGCTCATGCGCTGCACCGCCCGCTCATACGCTGCACCGCCCGCTCATACGCTGCACCGCCCGCTCGTGCGCTGCACCGCCCGCTCATACGCTGCACCGCCCGCTCGTACGCTGCACCGCCCGCTCATACGCTGCACCGCCCGCTCATACGCTGCACCGCCCGCTCATACGCTGCACCGCCCGCTCATACGCTGCACCGCCCGCTCATACGCTGCACCGCCCGCTCATACGCTGCACCGCCCGCTCATACGCTGCACCGCCCGCTCATACGCTGCACCGCCCGCTCATACGCTGCACCGCCCGCTCATACGCTGCACCGCCCGCTCATACGCTGCACCGCCCGCTCATACGCTGCACCGCCCGCTCATACGCTGCACCGCCCGCTCATACGCTGCACCGCCCGCTCATACGCTGCACCGCCCGCTCATACGCTGCACCGCCCGCTCATACGCTGCACCGCCCGCTCATACGCTGCACCGCCCGCTCATACGCTGCACCGCCCGCTCATACGCTGCACCGCCCGCTCATACGCTGCACCGCCGCTCCCGCTCATACGCTGCACCGCCCGCTCATACGCTGCACCGCCCGCTCATACGCTGCACCGCCCGCTCGTACGCTGCACCGCCCGCTCGTACGCTGCACCGCCCGCTCGTACGCTGCACCGCACGCTCGTACGCTGCACCGCCCGCTCGTACGCTGCACCGCCCGCTCGTACGCTGCACCGCCCGCTCTTGCGCTGCACCGCCCGCTCATACGCTGCACCGCCCGCTCGTACGCTGCACCGCCCGCTCGTACGCTGCACCGCCCGCTCATACGCTGCACCGCCCGCTCATACGCTGCACCGCCCGCTCATACGCTGCACCGCCCGCTCATACGCTGCACCGTTCGCTCATACGCTGCACCGCCCGCTCATACGCTGCACCGCCCGCTCATACGCTGCACCGCCCGCTCATACGCTGCACCGCCCGCTCATACGCTGCACCGCCCGCTCATACGCTGCACCGCCCGCTCATACGCTGCACCGCCCGCTCATACGCTGCACCGCCCGCTCATACGCTGCACCGCCCGCTCATACGCTGCACCGCCCGCTCATACGCTGCACCGCCCGCTCATACGCTGCACCGCCCGCTCATACGCTGCACCGCCCGCTCATACGCTGCACCGCCCGCTCATACGCTGCACCGCCCGCTCATACGCTGCACCGCCCGCTCATACGCTGCACCGCCCGCTCATACGCTGCACCGCCCGCTCATACGCTGCACCGTCCCGCTCATACGCTGCACCGCCCGCTCATACGCTGCACCGCCCGCTCATACGCTGCACCGCCCGCTCATACGCTGCACCGCCCGCTCATACGCTGCACCGCCCGCTCATACGCTGCACCGCCCGCTCATACGCTGCACCGCCCGCTCATACGCTGCACCACCCGCTCATACGCTGCACCGCCCGCTCATACGCTGCACCGCCCGCTCATACGCTGCCCGCCCGCTCGTACGTTGCACTGCACGGCATATAGGCATGTACACTGGTGGTGCTCACGGGCTGGTGCTCATGAGCTCATGCTCACGGGCTACTCCTCTTGTTCTTACCAGGTTTTCTTTCTGGTGCAGCAGCTGCAGGCAGTAACCAAACAGCTATGCAGACCTGTGGCGATCCCAGGCACTCGTAATATGGGTTACTAGGAGATGGCAGATGAGTGCTCACCTACTGGTTGGGGCTGCACTTGCTGCTCGGGGGGATGGTAGAATGCAGGGGCTTACCGGGTGGTCTTTCTGGTGCAGCAGTTGCAAGCAGTACCCAAACAGCTGGGCTGTCCTGTGCCGATCCCGAGGCACATGGGAGTCTGAGAGATGAAGGGCTAGGCGGTAGAGCAGCATAGCGAGGGGCAGGGAGAGGTGCGCTGCTACAGCCGGATCGAGAGAAGATAACGGGGAGTTCCCTCCTGCTCGCCCCGCTAGCCCCCCTGCTGCCTCCCCTGCTGTCCCCACTGCTGCCCCCCTTGCTCGTCCCGCTCTTGCCCCTGCTGCCTCTCCTGATGGTTCTCCCAGGGGTGAAGGATGGGTAGCGAGGGATGGGGCGAGGCGGAGCGGTGCAGATGGGTTCTGGAGCGGTGGAGTGAGGTCGAATAGCTGCAGCACGTCAGTGCCTGCATCCTTGCGAAGCTGCACAGAGAGGGAGGAGGGGAGAAAGAAGGAAGGGAGGAGAGGAAGAGGAGAGGAGGGGAGGGGAGGGGAATGGGGAAGGGAGGGTAGCGGGAGGGGGGAGGGGAGGGGGGAGAGTGAGAGGGGAGAGAGGTACAGAGGGGTGGAGTAAGTTAAATAGCAGCAGCACGTCCGCGCCTGTGTCACACTGATAGAGCAGCAGCAGGAATCGGAATTCAGACTCACCCAGTAGGTGCCGGGGCTGCGCACGCACTTGTCCTGCAGGAACCCCAGGATGGCGAGCGCGCTGTCCCTCACAGCGTGGGGGTAGAACGACGCCGACCCGTCTCTCGCGAGGCACTTGAGCAGAAACACGTCGTCACAGTGCAGCAGCTCGTAGCCCTGCACGACGCCCTTGTGATGGTAGCAGATGGCTAATTCCGGCACCCCCGCCATCAGGTTATCGAGCCATATATCGAGCCACACCAAAGGGGAGCTCTGCAAGTGTGTGCAGGAAGAGAAGGAAGCAAGTTAAGATGAAGGCTGACTGCCGCATGCTCCTCATTGCTGAACAGAATCAGATCGCTTCCCAGGAACACGAACACCACAGCGGCAGAACAGGCACGAGTCGCCCACCCACAGAGGGGCGGGGTGGGTGGGGGGTAGCATACCTCATGCTCCACATCAACTAGGTGAACACTGACTGCCGCATGCTTCTCATTTCTGAACAAAATCAGGTCGCTGTTTTCAGGCACTAGAAGAATCGTCACCTTGAATCAGCAAGAGCATGCCTCATGCTCCACGTCAACGAGGTGAAGGCTCACTGCCGCATGGTTCTGATTTCTGAACAGAATCAAGTCGCTGTTTTGAGGCACTAGAAGAATCGTCACCTTGAATCAGCAAGAACATGCCTCATGCTCCACATCAACTAGGTGAAGGCTCACTGCCGCATGCTTCTCATTTCTGAACAGAATCAAGTCGCTGTTTTGAGGCACTAGAAGAATCGTCACCTTGAATCAGCAAGAACATGCCTCATGCTCCACGTCAACGAGGTGAAGGCTCACTGCCGCATGCTTCTCATTTCTGAACAGAATCAGGTCGCTTCCCAGCAACACGAACACCACAAGAGCATATAAGACACAACATACCCTGAATCAAAAGGGCGTAAAAACAAAACTTCCTACCTCATGCTCCACGTCGACCAGGTGAAGGCTGACTGCCGCATGCTTCTCATTACTAAACAGAATCAGGTTGCTGGTCGAGGCACTAGCTAGATTGTCACCTAACGGCAAGAGCATACCTCATGCTCCACGTCAACGAGGTGAAGGCTGACAGCAGCATGCTTCTCATTGCTGAACAGAATCAGGTCGCTGCCAAGAAACAGCCTCAGGTGCTCCAACTGCCAGAACACCACCCGGGCAAACCTGTCCGCCCCTCTCTCTGCCTCCACACCTCCTCCTCCCCCTCCTCCTGTCTCCATTCGCTTCCCCGCACCTCCTCCTCCTCCTACCCCTGTTTCAATTCGCCTCCCCGCTCCTCCGTTGCTGCCATTATCCAGCCTTCTCTCCCGCTTGCTGCATGGCTTGCCCTTCCCAGCGCCCTCCCAACGCGCATACCCCTCCTCTTGCTCCTGCTCCTCCTCCTCTTCCACTTCCACTTTCACTTCCCCTTGAACGCCTTCAATCTGATTCTTCAAACTACCAGCGCAAGCTGCATCAGTGACAACAGCCTTCTGCAACCCAAACTGCTGCTGCTGCTGCTGCTGCCGGCGCTGTTGCTGTTGCTGCTGACTGCTGTGGTCGCACACTCGCACCACGCCCTCTGCATCCCCGACAAAATCCGTGGTAGTTTTTGGAGGCGCCCCAGAAGTCTGCTGCTGCTGCTGCTGCTGTGGCTGCTGCTGCCGATCCATCTGCTGCTCCTCCTGCTGCTGACTGCTGCGGCCGCACACTCGAACCACGCCTTCCGCGTCCCCGACGAAATCCGCGAACGCTTTTGGCAGAGCAGCAGCGTTAGGCAGACCTTTTCTTGAAACATTGCTGCTGCTGCTACCCCTGCTGGTGCTGTTTTGGTTGCCACTATTGCGACCACTGCTGCTACTGCTATCAGTACCACCAGAAACTGCAGACGAGCTGATGGCACTGGTGCTGCTGCTCCTGATGCCTCTGCTGGTAGGTCTGCTGCTGGAAGACGCGCCCTGTTGACCGTGTAACTCCGGGGTTACCAGCTTGGAGAGCAGAATCGCCTCGCGTTGCCCTCTGGAGGTCCGTGCGACCTTGTGGGAGTCCACACACCCAGGCTCGGAGCTGAGAGGAGCATGGGGGAGGGTATGAGGGGAAGAAGGAGAGTGAAAGTCTGAGTTACAAGCTTAGAGAGTAGAATCGCCTCCCTTTGCAATCTAGAGGTCCATACCACGTTGTGGGAGTCCACACAGCAAGGCTCGGAGCTGAGAGGAGTATGGGGGAGGGGGGAGGTGGGGATGAGTGGAAGAAGGAAAGAGTACAACTCTGGGCTACCAGCTTGGAGAGAGAGAAGCACTGCCACTTTTGCTGCCCTGGCCTCCGGAGGCTCATGGTACATTGTGCGAATCCATGAAGCACCCCTCACTCACCCGGGGTTGAGCACGAGCGTGCGGCCGACGTGGTGCACGCTGGCAAAGAGGCTGGCCTTGGAAAACGGCAGCTTGAACAGCTGCTTGAGCACGTCCGCGGGCGCTATCACGTCTACTGCGTCCTCCCCAAACTCCGCCAGCCCCCTCACCGCCAGGGCCCCATCTCAGCAGGCGCACTCACATTCCCTGACCCTTGAGTCGCCTCAAAGGCAGCACGCACTCACCCTGGGTGGATTGAGGTTCCTCAGAAGCAAGAAGCATCCACTCACCCGGGGTTGAGCACGAGCGTGCGGCCAACGCGGTGCACGCTGACAAAGAGGCTCGCCTTGGAAAAGGGCAGTTTGAACAGCTGCTTCAGCACGTCCGCGGGCGCTATCACGTCCACCGCGTCCTCCCCAAACTCCGCCAGACCCCTCACCGCCAGCGCCTCGCACTTGCGCGCGCCGCTGTGGTGCAGATACGACCCCCCCCAGGTGGAACCTGGAGGGTCCGAGGGACGGTCGACTGGCAGGAGGATGTTGTCTCGGTGCAGCCATGCGGGGGGATGCGTGTCCAGGGACGGTCGGGCTGGGGGAGGGATCACCTTGGGAATGCCGGGAGTCCTGGGGGAGAGGGAAGGGACGAGGGATTGGCTAGGTTAGAAGTGAAAAAACGAGGAGAGACATGGTTAACGGCAGATTTGGACAGAAATCTGGGTAGGAATGAAACGGTGTCACCAGTCGCTAATGAAGGCTTTTAGAGAATCCTGGAGCGAACTTCGGAATACCGATACGTAGGAAAAGATTATGTTCAGAGAAATTTATCTTGTGTCGCATAGCTATTCACCTATCGTGGAAGAAAGATCTCGATATCCCCGGAGAGAACTCGAGCGTGGTGAACTCGCGATCGAGCCAGACCGGCAGCGAGCCGCAGAGGAACATGCTGCGAGGCTTCGCCAGCTGCAGACTCGCCACAGGCGGTCCGGTCGAATCCGCCATGACGATTCTTCGTGGCACTTCCTATTTATGCTGGCACTTGACTTTCCCGATGCTCGCTGGAGTTGCAACCATAAGTCAGGAAGGTAATCATGAAGCTGGAACCAGCAACTATCCATGCAATCAACTCTCACAACACGAGCTCATACGCCATAGATTCAATCTGCGCCTTCTCCCGTCTGAAAGAACAAACGTCACCCTCACGGAAATCAGAAACTGGAAACTGAAAGCAACGCGTGCTGCAGTCTGCTCTTGATCCGAAAATGGTTTGCCCCGTTTTGGTTCTTGTGTGGTATTAGGGCGCTTCACCTGTCGGTTCGAACAACACACTCGTTCGAACAGGCGAAACGTTACTCGTTTCGCCTATGTTCGTAGTGGTGATCGTGACGTCGCGAAGCACAATTTCGCCAATTTGAACAGAGCTGTCACCTCAAGCCCGATTTTCATCATCCCGCACGTTCGAACACGTTTGTTCGAACAGGTTGGGATAGGTGACACACAATTCCGCACAAACGACTGATATGATTGGTCCACAGTCTTCCGGGTCGCCCATGAACGTTTGCGACCCGGCCAGACGTTGGCTGTATTTCTAGCAATCCAGTTGGCTCCGCATTTGGTGGTCGCAGCGCTCGAGAAAACACACAAGCGAGGGACCCAATGTTTGGCGACGTCGCTCTTTTGTGGGCGACGTCGCTGTGTTCGAACAGACCGCGTGTGCGAATAGCGATGTCGTCACCTGTGATGGCCTGTGTCACATTCGCTCATTGTACGTATTTGTGTTCGAGCTCATTTGGGATACTGTTCGTACAGTCAAACTGATACGTCGGTTCGGATTTTGGCCTTCCGCCCCTCAGGTGAAGCGCCCTTAGTAGCTTGATCCAGAATGGTTTGCTGCATTTTGTTCAATAGAACCAGCAGATTCGGACTTCAGGATAGGTTCGGCACGGTTGGCTATGTTTCTGTGAGCTACAGTATGGTGGGGATTCTGGACGTCACCTAGATTCTGGAAGCATTTTGCCCAACAGCAACCATTTTCAGTGTCCAGGGTCGCACAAGCGAAAATTCCAGAAGCGAACATTGTGCGGATCACATCCTAGAGATTGTCGAGACGAAAGGGTTAGCGAGTAGACTTCGCGAACTTCTCTGATTCACGGAATTTTGTGCCTCTTCGTTCTGGACAGCCTCGATACTATGGTTCACAATGCTGCATTTGCCCCATCCAGCTACACCACACAGTATTACTGTCAGAATGAGAATATTCCCCAAACCACAACCATGCTCGCCACGCAACCTTATCCACCAGGTACATGCCTCGGCCACCACTTTTGAGCAACTTAGGGTTCCAGATTACGCTTTAATCAGCCGCGTTTAGCAGGTCCGCCAGGACACTCTGCCTCTGGACGAGGCAGGGACCTCGTACCCATTGCCGGATTCTTATTCGTCACTCCGGATCCTTCCGTGTTCTCGCGTCGATCCTGATCCGTGTCGCAACACGTCCCATTTTCCTCGTCAGACGAATTATCGCCCGGCATGGTTGTTCTAGTCGCCGCGCGAGCCACCCAGCAGGGCCTCTTCCAGGCGATCAGCTTCACTTCGTTTCTATCACATTCGTTCCTAAAACGAGGGCGACCATGCGCGCTTCTCTCCCGCCTCCATTCCGCCTCCCCAGCGCTCCCCTCCCCGTCGATCCTCCGCGTATCCCCTCTCACGCTCCCCGCCAGCGGACTCCGCTCCCCCTTAAATCCCGCGCCATCGCCGCAATTCGCGGATGCCGATTCGAAGAACCACCGCGGAGCCGCGTCCAAATCCACTCCGCTTACCTCCGCGCCGCTCTTTCTCCTCCCGAGCCAGCAGAAGGGGGTGCCTCGTGGGGTCGCGGCTCGAGCAGCCTCTAAAGCCTCTCGAATCGTCAAGGATGCGTCTAAGAAAAAAGGCGGGAAAATTGGTCCAGGGGGATCGAACCAGGAAGCGAAGCAGCAGCGAAGGGGGGGTAGCGGGCACGGGGCTTTCGGGGCTAACGAGTTTACCGGAAACGGGGGTCTGCTTGAATCTGAGCCGTCCGATTTGGGCGATCTGGGTTTATCGAAGGACGTGGACGCGGCGTGGCTTATTAGCGGGTCGCGAGACAATATCGAAGATGACGTGCCGGATTCCCCGTTTCTAGACGCAGTCGTTAAGGTGTATTGTACGCACACGCAGCCGAATTTCTCGTTGCCCTGGCAGAAGCGGCGGCAGTTTTCGTCGACGGGCAGCGGGTTTATGATTCCGGGCAGGCGAATTTTGACGAACGCGCATTGCGTGGAACACCACACGCAGGTGAAGCTTTGAGACGCCTCTGTTTTTTTCTTTTTTCTCTCTCTCTTGTTCTTTTTTTGTGTGGGATGTCTCGAATTCTGACGAACGCGCATTGTATCGCGTGCGCCACCACTCGCAGGTGAAGCTGAAGCGACGCGGCGACGACACCAAGTTTGTCGCACGCGTGCTGGCGATCGGCGTGGAGTGCGACATCGCGCTACTCGCTGTGGACGACGAGTCGTTCTGGCAGGGCCGCCAACCGCTCAGGTGAGGTGCTGTGGGGTGCTGTGGGGTGCCGACAGTTGCCCAGGTGGTTCCGCACAGGTACTGCGTGCTCTGGTGAGGTACTGAGAGGTGCAGTGAGGGGCTGATGGCAATCGGCGTGGAGTGCGACATCATGCTCCTTGCTGTGGACGACGACCGCCAACCCCTCAGGTACTTCCGCAGAGGTGGGGTGCTGTGAGGTGGTGCGAGGTGGTGCGAGGTGGTGCGAGGTGGTGCGAGGTGGTGCGAGGTGGTGCGAGGTTAAAGGCAGACAGTCACTCAGGCACTTGAGGTGCATAAGGTGTGTGTTGGGTTGGGTTCAAGCGTGCTGGCGATCAGCATGGGGTGCGGCATCACGCTCCTCTGGTGAGGTGCTGTGAGGTGAAAAGCCCCCATCTGGAGTTCCCAGTGACAGTGGTGGTGCACCCCTCTCCACTCTCCCACTCTCCCACTCTCCCAGTTTCCACCTTCTGCCCCTCTTCCTAATCTCCCCTCACACACAGGTTCGGTGGTCTCGCTCACTTAGAGGACGCGGTGACAGTGGTGGGGCAGTGGGGTGCACAATCGGAGGCGACAGCATCTCAGTCACCTCTTCTTCCTCCTACCACATACCGCCTTTGTGTGTGTGCTCCCTCCCCCCTCCTCCCTCACAGGTTCGGCGGTCTCCCTCACTTGGAGGATGCGGTGACAGTGGTGGGGTGCCCAGTGGGGGGAGGCAGCATCTCAGTCACATCTGGCTTCGTCTCTCGCATTGAAGTCACTGCATACGCTCATGGCGCTTGTTGTGTGTGTGCCCTTCCCCTCTCTTACCTCCGTCCACAGGTTCGGCGGTCTCCCTCATTTGGAGGACGCGGTGACAGTGGTGGGGTACCCAGTGGGGGGCGACAGCATCTCAGTCACCTCTGGAGTCGTCTCTCGCATTGAAGTAACCGCATACGCTCACGGCGCCTCCGAGCTACTAGGCGTGCAAATTGATGCCGCAATCAACCCGGGGAACAGCGGCGGCCCGGCTTTTAACGACCGCGGGGAGTGTGTGGGGATAGCGTTTCAGTCACTAAAGGATAGTGACACGGAGAATATCGGGTATATTATCCCGACGCCGGTCATCTCGCATTTCCTCGGCGATTACCGAAGAAACGGGCAGTACACGGGTTTCCCCGCGATCGGAATCCTCTGGCAGAGGCTGGAGAATCCTGCGCTTCGGGCAGCTCTGAAAATGTCGCCCGGGCAGAAGGGTGTTCTCGTGCGGAAAGTCGACCCGACGTCTCGAGCCCATGGGGTGCTACAGCAAGGGGATGTGATTATGTCATTTGATAATGTACCCATCGCCAGCGACGGCACTGTGCCTTTCCGAACCGGCGAGCGCATCTCCTACGGGTTTCTGGTCAGCCAAAAGTTTTCCGGCGAGGTTGCCCGGCTGGAAATTCTCCGCGACGGGCAGCTGATGAAGGTTCAGGTGCAGCTGAAGCCGCCGAAACGACTCATTCCGGTGCACACGGGGGGCAAACCGCCAACGTTTCTGATCGTGGCAGGGCTGGTTTTTACGCCGGCTGTGCAGCCGTTTTTGCAGTCAGAGTATGGGAGCGAGTTTGAGTTTGAGTCGCCGGTTTCGCTGCTTCAGAAGCTGCTGCATGGGCATGCGGAGCATGAGGACGAAGAGGTGGTGGTGTTGAGTCAGGTGAGAAGCGGTTTAGGCAGGTGAGAGGAGAGCAGGGAAGGTACAGAACGGTTGAGGCAGGTTGAATGTGGTAAGTGGCTCCAATTGATTTGCTGGTTTCGCTGTTGCAGAAGCTGCTGCATGGGCATGCGGAGCACATGTGTCCCCTGCCTTCTCCCCACTCCCTCACCCCCTCCAGGTGCTAGCCCATGAAGCCAACATAGGGTATGAGGATATCACCAACACGTGCCTCGTGTCTCTCAACGGCACGCGGGTGCGCAACGTGCGACAGCTGGCAGCGCTGGTGGACGCGTGCACCTCAGACTGGGAGAGCCAGCCGTTCATGCAGTTTGAGTTGGAGCACCGGCAGCTGGTGGTGCTGGAAACGAAGAGCGTGCGGGCTGCCACGGCTGATGCCATGGCGGATCACAGCATTCCCTCGGACCGATCGGAGGATCTACGGTCCGCGATGCCGGTTGCGGCTGCGGCTGCAGCAGCAGCAGAAACGCCAGGAGCAGCAGCAGGGACGGCAGTAGAAACAGCAGCAGCAGCAGCAGAAACATTAGCAGCAGCAGCATTGGTGGTGGAAGTTGGTGGTGAATCTGGATCGTCGTCAAGTGGGGAGGACGAGAGTTCAGGGAAAGCCATTCGCATGAGGAGTGATGCTGATGTGAGGGTTGCTGCGGCAGTGCAGGTTGCAGCGAAGGGCAAAAAGCAGAAGCAGAGGAAGGGCAGAAAGTGAAAAGGCAGGAACAGATGACAAGGAAGGAGTTGAGAAAGGGCAGTGAAGGGCGGTTAAAGGCTGGAAGTAAAAGGGTAAGTGGGGAGCAAGTCTGGCTGGTGCTATGATTAGATGGGGAAATAAGCGGAGCAGTAGGTTACCAGTGTAGTACCTGTTGGCAGGTTTTTAGCCTTGGGTAGTGTTACACATGGATCGAGGCACTTGCATGGCAATGCTGTTGCTTCCAGTTTTGTTTATCCCACTGATGGCTCCACCAAGGTGCATTTCGTGTCAATAAGACAGCTAGGATGATGTGCGCTAGCCACGCGTAGCACTGGCCGTGAGCGCCTGCGACTCAGTGATATGAATACGTATGCTGAAATATAGCTGGATACAATAACGATTGCCGATTTCGTAACACGCCTCGCAGCCACATTCCCTGGTAAGGGCCATGTTGCCACAAATGACTGATCTATCGACTGTGCGATTGACTCGCAGGACCTTGACGACGTAGGATGCGAAGCTACGTGTAGTTACCCTGCTGACGTGGGAGCTGGCATCCACACAGGCCCACGGGGAGCCATCATTCGTGACAAAGATTCTCATTCAAGATATGGTCGCCAGCGACAGCAAAATGGCAGGTCCAGCACCTTGCGCGTGTGCGAGAGTCGCTGATTTTCATCGCAAAGCAATCAATCTCATTGCGTTACGCATCGCGGCGCAATCTGGGAACCATAAGGTAACCAAGCTGGCACCTTGCGCGTACAATCAGCGAAAGCCTGGCGCCTGCCAAATCGACCGTCTCATTGCGGCGGATACGTTTCCATTCCATTCTCGTGCGACAAGTGACGTTCATATTGGAGGCCCCAATTTCATACCAGATACAGTCAGTACATGTCTGTGTGTGTCGCATTCCGTGAAAGATGTACAATACACATGATGCCTGTTTGAGCCACTCCCGGTTGCCTTGTAATGATGACTCATCATTTGTAACGTGTTTTCGCACAATTGTCGTCAATTCGCAGCTAGCTAAAAAGGATTCGCAGGTGCCTATATAAAAAAGCTGTAACAAAATCCGTTGACATTTGACTTTAGTCTCTTCCTTTTGACTTCGGTCTGTTCCTTACCATTGGTTCATAAACACGCGACGCGCTTGTAACGTGGGTGCAACAGGCTGGGGAAAAAACCTCGGGTGCAGCGTTTCCATCCGGTGCAGAGCAAACTCGCCTGCATGGGGTGGGCATCATGTGTAATGCTGTAAAGCTGATCCGAAGAGCTGTCCGAACGAGCAGCACGCGCCATCCAGCAAGAATACCACCCACCCTGAATCGCACAGCTATTCAAAACGATCGCCACGGAGACTGTAAATCCCTGCTCCCTGAGTCCCAGAAATTCGTCCCATCGAGCAGAGTTGAGTTTCGAGTCCACATTGCGATGGAGGAATGGAACAACTCGTCATAAATCCTTCCAGCATTTCTTATGTGATTAGCTCGAACGTCGCAATGCAGTCCTACATGAGGCATGAAGGCACGGAGCAGCACCAGCATCAGCAGCCGGAGACGCGAAATATCAGGCTTCACCGGCACGCGCGCCCGCAAGCCTTACAGGTGCAGCGGCGATGTGCGCTTGACGCGCTAACGGCCCCCCGCGAAAGCTCCCTCAGCATGATTCCACCCTCCCGCCCTGGACCGCAGGCGCGGAAACCGCACCTTTCCTTGAACGTCCCTTCCCCCTCGTCACTTCCGCGAAATATCTCCCCCTCCTGCCCGCCGCAAGCCCCCGCAACTTGTACCGCCGCGGCGTCTCACGGCATCTACTCCCCCGGCCCCACCTCTGCTCCCGCGGGTCCTCCGCACCTTCCGCCTTCCACCTCGCTTCTGCGCCGCGCATCCGCGCCGACTCTTCCAGAGCCGCAGCAGACCATCACGGCGGTGCTTACGAGCGCTTGCGCCTCCCGAGCTTCTCACAGCTGCGGAATGCAAGGTGATGGGGCGACTCGTCCGCGGCAGGAGCAGCAGAGTGAGCAGCAGAAGGCGAAGGAACAGCGGAACGACCGCGTGAGACTCTGCGAGCAGCGGAAGGAGCACCGTGGGAGCGGAGAGACGCCTGCGCGTGACCCGCAGCCCCAGCAGGTGCTTCCTCTCACGACCGACGAACAATGGGAACGGATCTTGGCGACGCGACGAGAAACGCGGCGCAGTGCTACTACTGGAATTAGTATGGATAGTAACGAAGCCGGCCCTTTCAGAGTTAGGGAAACTGCTGCTGCAATTGCGGGGAAGAGAACCCCGACGGCGCGAGTGCAACTACAGCGCTCTGGCGGCAGCTGTGACGTCTGGCGACTCGTCTCGTCGATGGACGCGCGCGAATGGGACTCCCCGCCGACGGGAACTCGCTCCGCGCGGGCGGACCGTGACGGTGCGCGGATGGGGTGCGCTGCCGCTACCGGCACCGCCGCGGGGAAGCGGTCGGCGCGCCTGGCGAGGAGCGCCGGGAGCTGCGACATGGCGCGGGTGGTGCAGATGCTAGAGGACGAGATGGATCGCGAGGAGAGGGACCGCGAGGAGCGCGACGCGCAAAAGGTTTGTGCTTCCGCCACGGGCACCGCCGCGGGGAAGCGGTCGGAGCGCCGCCTTGCTGCTGGTGGGGCAACACTGCGGGGGAGCGGCGGGAGCTGCGATATGGCGCGGCTGGTGCAGATGCTGGAGGACGAGATGGATCGAGAGGAGCGCGACGCGCGGCGGAATAGAAATATTACCACGAATGATAGCCACAATGTTAGTAACAGCCCTGGAACGCGCAGAACCGAGGGGCTGGATTTTGCTGGTGGGAGCTGCGCGCCGCAGTCACGCGGACCGCGGCCCTCCGGACCTTCTCGCTCTGCAAGCCCACTGCCGACTCTGCGCGGAAACGAATATTCAAATTCTGCTGGTGGAAGCTGCGCGCCACACTCGAGCGTAGCGCGGTCTCGCTGCACAAGTCCACTACCGACTCTGCGCGGAAACGAAGGTTCGGATTCTGCTGAGCGCTGCGCGCCGCAGTCAGGCGTAACGCGGACCTCCGGACCTTCTCGCTGCGTAAGCCCACTCCCGACTTGCAATTCACGGAATTCGCGCAGTCCGACCGACGCGTGCACGAGGCGTGGGCCCCAGGGCTCTCCGCAGGTCTCTCCACACAGCTTTGTGGTTCCGCCCAAGGCTACCGCGACTGAACATGACCGCAAGTTGACCGCGTCTGCTACTGCTACTGAAAGCAGCCGAGCTATTCACTTTGCTAGGAGTCACGACTGGGATTCGGACTCGCCGAACCGCGGAAGAAGTAACGGCGCTGGCGGCGGCGGCGCAGGCAGCGGCAGGACCGTGCTTCGTCGCAGTGGCGCTAGCCAAGATGTCGCACCGTTGATCCGCGATCACGTCGCAGAGGACAGGACGCCGCCGCTTGCGTCGCACGCGAGTTCCAAACATTTAAAATCCGTCGCTCATCGCGTACCTCTGTCGTCATCGCCGTCGTCTAAAGGAGCACAAGCTTTACCCGTCAAACGCAGCTTGGCGGGTCGGTCGAGCAGCCTGAGCCACAGCGGCGGAAGCTGCGATGTGGCGGAGCTTTTGCGCCACTTGCGGAGCCAACAGGAGGAAGAGTCGGAAGCGGAGGGGGTCGCGCATCTCCGGCGCACTATTTCCCGATCTGTCCGCTTCCCCACCAGCATCAGCGAGTCGTCGCGGTCGCGGGCAGTGCAGCTGGTTGCGCGCGAAGGGGGAACAAGCGACCCGGAAGATGGGAACCGGCGAATCGTCGCTGGCATCAGCGAATCGTCGCGGACAGTGCAGCTGGTTGCGCACGAAGGGGGGAAAGGCGACCTGGAAAAGGGTGGGCAGAGAAGTGGCGGGCGCACTCACTGGCGGTCAAAATCCGGAGATGGTTCTGATAGTTCCCCCTTTGCCCGGGGGGAACGAGAGGCGCGCTCGGAGGCGCAAGGTGAGGCGGACAAACCAGTTTTTCCGTGCACACGTGGCAGAAGCAGAGTGGCGGTTGAAGGGAATTTGGCGAATCTCAGGCGCAGCGGCGGAAGTTGTGACATGTCGCTGCCTTCGTCTACCATCACTCGCCGAGGCGGCGGGGGAGGCGCTGCGGAGAAACACACCAATCAGGACTCGTCCTCGCTTGTGCGAGCTTCGACTACTGCAGCTGCTGGCTCTGCATCTACAGTGCACAACTCAACCATTTCACCGCTTCATCAATCTAACGTTGCTGTCCAAAAGCATACTAGTCAGGAGCACCACCACCAACGCTCCATCTCCTTGTCAGCAGCAGTTTCTGGCTTTGCTCCAAACGAAATCAACAAGGCTACACTCGGTGACGGTATGAATCGCTCTCTAGTAAGGACTGCTGACTGCAACAAGTCATTCACTAATAGGTCTCATCGCAGAATGATATCATGGCCATCCCCAACTCCAAGCCCATTAGAGAGTTCATCACACACCGGCGTCATGTATTCTCAGTCATCGCCTTATCCAGATATGGATTTCCCTTCCTCCCACATGCCCACCACGGGCGATGCTCCAAGGGCTGGAATCACCCACATCACACCTTCCCTAGTCATCCCTTCCTTGGCTGCTGCTGCTTCTGCTGCTGCTGAAGCCAGCAGGACAACCACTGATTTCACCTTGCCGCAACCACAGGCTGTGTCACGAGTGGCTGGTTCGCATTTCAGTGACCTTGCAGAAGACTCACACTCAGGTGTTTCAGGAAGAAACTCTGACTCGGGCGAGCAGGCAGAAGACTCGGACGATGAGTTTGCAAAGTTGTACTGGAAAGCAATGAAACACAGGACAGCAGCTGATGCAGCAGTTTCCGCAGCCATGCAACAGTTGGGAATGGAAGGGAGTGGCATTGTGGCACCGGCACAGAAGCACCCGCGCCAGCTTTTCAAGTCGACTCCGAAATCTCTTTTGAGTCGACTAAAAAACACAGCCATGCAGCAACTGGGGCTGGAAGGGAGTGGGCTGAGAGCACAGAATCACGAGCGCCAGCACCAGCAACAGCACCAGCACGAGCACGAAAATAGCACTCAACAGCAGCGGCAGCAGCAGCAGCAGAAGCAGCAGCACCGCAGGGGCAGTGTCAGCATTTTACGATCACACAGCCACTGCGAGACTATTGACAGAAGCAGCAACCGCAGCAGCAGTGGCAGCGGCAGCAATTCCAATCCATGTGCACCCGTATCACCCAGAGATGAAAGCAATAGCCTCGACACGAGCAGCATCAGTCTCGACTCGAGCACGTGCACTATCACCCGCCAGGCACATGCCGGCACACATAAGAAAAGCCCTCGTCGCCGTAGCTTCACCCTCGGTGATGGCAGCAGTGTGAGTAAATTCGCCGCTGGCAACGTCATCGGCAGCACGAGCATTTCAGGTTCTGCCAGCAGCAACGCTGAAAAATCGGATGCAGCTCTGGATAAGAGCAGGAGGAGGAGCGTCCTGAGTTCGGATTTCACCCCTGGTGGTGGCGTTAAGACTGGTTCCGGGTCTCAGGGGAGTGACTGCAAGGTGCAGAGTCGCAGGAGGCACAGTGGGAGCAGTGCCAGTCAGGCAGAGTTCTGGGAAGGAGCGAGCGACCACTCTCGCAGCATTGGTAGCAGCATCAGCAGGAGTAGCTTCAGCAGCAGCAGCAGTAAGCACGTGACTCTGCTACCCCCTTCCTTGTCGAACCCTTGGGCTTCTCAGGCCAGGGAGCTGGCCGCTAGGGGCGATCTGGTTGGAGATCAGAGCATAGGGCGAGGAGGTTCGGCCAGGCTTGTGTCTTTGAAAGAATGTCAGTAACTGAAGTGGTAACAGCAGAAGAGACAGGAACACCAGCACGAGCTGCAGCATCTACTGCTGCAGAGAGTGGCAGGGAAACAGCAGCAGGAAACCCGCATCATAGTGTGCTGCTCCCCTTGCCATTTTCGTGGCCTAGTTTGTTCGTACAGTGAGGCAGTTGCATCACTAACATTGAACTCCATTTTTCGTGATGGTACCGTATGGCCCCGGATATAGGCGCCGTCCGATTAAAGGCGCCGGCGCCTCTATCTGGAGCATGGCGCTTATGGCCGTTCCTCGATTATAAGCGCACCCCTTTTGTACCCGTACTTATTACAGGCGCATACCTTCAACATTTTTCCTTTTATTTTTAACTACAACAATTACCGCAACATCTTTATGCACTTTCCATTAGAAGTTTAGCACTTTGCGTATGTTACGAGTGCAATTGAGTGAACGAACGAGAATTGCACTATCGAAGCAAGAATACGATGAGCGAGGGCGTGAGCGAAGAATATATAGCGAAACTACAGTGGTAACGGTAATGGTCTGTGGTAGTCGCGCGACGAGCCTGGGACTGAGGTTGGGAAAGTGTCGAGGCGTAGGCCCGGAGCGCGGGTTACCAGCCGAGCCGTGAGGTCGGGATGTGATGTGCGAAAAATGGCGGGATGATTGTCGATGCGATGATCGCGAGTGGTAACGGTGCTGACTTAGGTGCTACAGTGATGTACGCGTTGAGCAGGGATGCGAAGTAAGGAAAAGGGATTTTCCTTACAGCGTACAACATCCTACTTCTAGCTCATTTAAAACCCGGAGTCAGCATGGTAATTTATCAAGTTATGTGAGTTTGAAATAGTATTGGCGAAACCTTGAAAACAAGAATTTCGGCAAAGTCAGTGTAGCGAGAAACATATCGATTGACGAGGGGGAAAGGAGTCTCGCCAAACGTGAAGCAATGGTGAACGACACTGTGCAGCTTTGACGGATTTGCAAGCACTGTGGAGCGACTAGGAGTGTCGCAAGGATTGTTCTTCGGCCAATCATGTTCAAATAGTGGAGAGGTCCACGCACAATGCGACTACTAGCAAAAACGAAAACAGGAAGCACCAACACGAGTGAGGAGAAAGAACACCACGATCAATCAAGCTAACTACTTCGTGTGAAATAACCGCAGGAGCTAACAACAAGGAAACGTGCGAACGAAGGTGACATGCCAAAAAACGTACATGCTGAGTCGCAGGAAGGAGCGTTGAGAAGAGCGCGACACGGCGCGATATGGCCTCTGGCACATCGATTGCCTCTGGCAGCACGTAGGACGACGGTTTCGGGGCATTGCGAACGTATATTGCGCTCGAAAGTGCCTATTACTTAGGGCAATGCCACGCTGGGGGCGTCCACAATACGCATACCCTTAGGGTTACGCTATTCTACTCTGTCAGCCACCGGGCGCCCACGGGCAGGTAGCAGCGCGCGAAATACAGAGACGACCATCCCCCTCACCGGTTTACGCGCAGCTCGCGCCACTGGTCGTCTAGCAGCGCGTCAACTCACAAACGTCCAGCGCGCGCACTATTCTATTCGAATAGCAGCGTGGACAGGGCGCTAGAACGAGGCACCACCACGCCAGGACAGGTACACGTGCTCCGCGCCCCTGCACTCTGCGCTCTGCCCCCTCCGCCCCCTGCGTTCTGCCCCTTGCGCTCTGCTCTATGAGCCCTGCGCTCTGCGCCCTATTCTCTGCGCCCTATGCACTGCGCCCTATGCTCGGCGCCCTATGCACTGCGCCCCATGCTCTGCGCCCTATGCTCTGCGCCCAATGCTCGGCGCCCTATGCTCTGCGCCCCATGCTCTGCGCCCCATGCTCTGCGCCCCATGCTCTGCGCCCCATGCTCTGCGCCCCATGCTCTGCGCCCTATGCTCTACGCCCCATGCTCTGCGCCCTATGCTCTACGCCCCATGCTCTGCGCCCTATGCTTTGCGCCCCATGCTCTGCGCCCTATGCTCTGTTCCCCATGCTCTGCGCCCTATGCTCTGCGCCCCATGCTCTGCGCCCTATGCTCTACGCCCATGGCCCACCCTTTCTCCCCCTCATCCCTGCTTCACCGCATTTCCCTCCCTGCTTCACCTCATTTCCCTCACTGCTTCACCTCATTTCCCTCCCTGCTTCACCTCATTTCCCTCACTGCTTCACCTCATTTCCCTCCCTGCTTCACCTCATTTCCCTCACTGCTTCACCTCATTTCCCTCCCTGCTTCACCTCATTTCCCTCCCTGCTTCACCTCATTTTCCTCACTACTTCACCTCATTTCCCTCCTTGCTTCACCTCATTTCCCTCACTGCTTCACCTCATTTCCCTCACTGCTTCACATCATTTCCCTCACTGATTCACCTCATTTCTCTGCTATCTCTG